TACTTGAATGTCAGGGTAATGCACGCACCTAATGTATTAACTTTCTAAGGAGTAAGTTATTGGCAAATGGTATTTTATAGTCTTAAAGGCACCGCTGTTGTCTTTTGACCTTCTGTTATCACATTTGCTTTTCAAATGAAATAGTCCCTGGACACTTTATCCAAAGGCATATTGGATTGCAAACAATGATGCACAGGCATTGACTTTTGATATATATATATATATATTTTTTGTTTGTTTGTTTGTTTTTGTTTTTTTTGTTCTTGTCAAATTGACGGTCCCATCTTGAGACTGACAGCTGATGAGTTGATGTAACTGTTTTTGTTTTGCATTTAACTGGATTGTAATAAGATTGACTTAAAAAATTATTAATTCTAATCAGTGATTAGAAATATGTGTAAAGAATTTATGTACAGTTAGAGGGGGGGGAAAAAGTAAAACAATTTTAAATAATGAAAACCCAGACTATCACCTATTCTAGAATTGGTTCTACTCAAAGAGTGACCTTTTACTAGCATGGACTGCACTGTTCCTGTTAAATGTCTATTGCATAATTGAATTCTTTTTTTTGTAGATATTGTATTAAAGCCCAAGTGTCTGTATAGTTAATATATAGCTGCTTATGTGTAAATGCTATTTTAAACACTAAAAAGCTTTTAATTTTATGTGACAACTGCACCCTGTGTCTTTCCTTGCTTGATGTCGACGACAATTCTTTGCACTTCTGTAGCACCTTCCCTCTAAGGATCTCAAAGCACAAGCGAAATCTTGAGGTCCTCTGGTTCTTGAAGAAGGTAAATATTATGTTTGCTTTACAGGAGAAAACGAAGGGTTACAAGAGGAGGGACTGGGGATTCAGGAGCCTTGCAATCTCTTGCCATTTCTTGGGGGTGCTCACTCACTGAGGTGTATGGCCTAAGAGCCGCATTAATGCTTCCATAGGGAAACTGAGGCACAGAATGATCGCATGAGTTACCTGGGAGGTAGGAATACAAGCCAGGGGCTTTGGTTGTATCCAGTCAGGGTTTGGAAGGGTTTGGCAGTGAAGAGTAGCTCTGAATATCTGGCCCTGAGCTTGTAACCAAGGGGTTTGTTTCCCCATTAAAAAAAACAGATGGCTTGGCTTCATTAGCATAACACCGCCGTCTTTACACACCTGCCTTCCCCAGCTGTAGGCTGAGAGCCAAGCATTTGGGAGTTGGGGTGAGCAGGAAAGAAACGTTGAGCTCCCTGGTCAAAAGAGCCCGCAGCCCTAGGCCCAGCGTGGAGCGAGGCGTGACAAAGAAAGGGCTCCTGGCTCCTTCCAGGCTGTTGCATCCAGAGCTGCAGGTGCAGCTGCCCTGGGCTCTGTGCACCAGCTCCAGCATTCGAGGATCCCAGCTGCAGCCGGAATGAGCTCTGGGCATGGAGCAGCCTCTCTGTCGGGCCTGGGATGTGGGAATGGGTCTCCTTGGGCCTGGATGGGAGCAGCGTCCCCCAGCTGGACTGTGGAGAGTGTCCTGCCCAGACTGCAGCATGGGAATGGCTCTGGCCCTCGAGCCCCAGTAAGCACCAGACCATCCTGGGCCACATCCCTAGCTGGGGACTCGGATCTCTCCTTGCCTGCGCAGGGCAGCTTGCCCAGCTGCTGTTGCTCAGCTTCCCTGGCTTGTCACCTCACCTGCCTGGCTCTGCAGCCTGCCCTGGGCATCCTAACGCGGCTTAGCCTCAGCCCACCTGGCCCAGCCTGGGGCCAGGAGCAGGTGAGTCCAATTAGCTGAACAGCCCCCATCAGCTGCAAGCAGAAGGGGGCCTGCTCTCACCTGGATGGTACGCTGCCAGCACCTGCAAAGCGGCACAAACTCTGCCTTCCCTCTTTCAAAACTGGGAGCCAAGCTGCCGCATTTGCTATGGAGCTGCACAAGCCATTGCCCTCGTCTACTCACCGCAGCACGTTCATTTGCATCTGGTGCAGCGGCTGGGGGGGGACTTCCACCCAGATTCTGCTACCTTTACTCGCCGTGAGTAGCTTGTTATTCCACCTTGCATGGCTTTGCACATATGCACCTACCTACCGATGAGAGCTTCATATGCGGGGAATCAGGAGGGAGAGCTGTGCATTGATCTGTTGCAGGACTCCTATGTCTCTAGTGTTCAGTGTCACGGTTTGCTCACAGGGAGCTCCTAAAGCAAAGCATAGTTTCATAATTTCTAGGGTCGGAAGGG